ACCCTTTTTTCTGATGAAGGGTCGAGGCCCGAAACGTCAGCCTCTCTGCTCCTATGATGCTGCTTGGCCTGCTGTGTTCATCCAGCCCTGCACCTTGTTGTCTCGGATTCTCCAGCATCTGCAGTTCCTACTATCTCTGATCAGAAACAGGTTGCCTTGCAGTCAGCGATTTCCTTCTCTCCCGATTCATCTGTGTGTGTATGTGTGTGTGTGTGGAGTAGGGTGTGCTCACTCCCAGTCTTGGATTTCTCTCACATTCACTTTCATCCACACTTGCTCACATATACATTGAGTCTGTTGGTGGGTGAGGCCTGTGAGTGTGAATCCTGAGATAGGGATTGAGCCAGATGCACACTTATTCACAGTCTGAAATGCATTTGTCTGCTGGGCCTGGGAAATTTTAAGATTCCGGTGATTGAGGAGTTCACAACAGCTGTGAAGATACCATGACGCGCTGTCTTCCATCATGTGCAGCCATCACCCCCCGTTTGGGAGCTTCTTTTGCCCACAGTCCCCCAATAGGTATCCTACCTTCCCCTGCCCCACGTTCCCATACCCAACTGCCAGCCTCTTTCCTTATACCCTTGGCATAACTCTATGGCAGTACCCTCTCATCCTTCTGACCATCTGTTAGGCAGCTGTTGTTCCCCAAGCCCTGCCAGTCAGCAGCCTCTCATTCAAAGCCTATTTTCTCTGCTTCCCACTTCCAGCTGAGTTGCTGCTGTTGCCATTGGAGTTCAAGCCTCAGAATGAGCCTGACACTGATTGCTCACTGCTCCTTTAATCACAGACTGTTTCTCTCCTGCATTCTATCAGCTACAAATCCAGGAGACTATCATGATTGGAGGAGCAGCTCCTTGCAGAATCAGCCAGCTCGACTTACTTGTATTTTGAACCTTGGTTTGTGGACCAATGAGAGTTTTTTAAGCCAGTATGTAGAAGGTCCTATGGAGTGTGTGTATGTGGGTGGGGGTGGGGTGGGGGTGCGGTGAGTGTGGGATGCAGTGCTGGTGGTGAGGGCGTGTTGGTGGGGAGATGGGGTGTAGGAAGCTTGAGTGGTTTGCAGCGGATTCTGTCCTGGACTTAGTTTTATGTAATAAAACTGAGCAAATGTTTGAAATGTTGGTGGGGGAGCATTTTGCAGACGCCAATCATAACTCCAATAGATTCAAGATTGTAATCAAAAGGACAATGATGGGGCCGAAATCAAAATTCTTAACTTGGATTTGGCCAATTTTAATATGATCAGATATGATTTGGTCAGAGTGGACTGGGAGCACATACTTTAGTAAATCTGGGTCAGAACAGTGGAACACATTCAAGAAGGAAATCAGGAGAGTATAGGGCCAACATATTCCAATAAAGACAAAGGGTGGGACTAACAAGTCCAAGGGATATACTTGATTGGATAAAGAGAAAAAAGGGAGACTTATAGCAAGTACTAAAAGCTCAAAATAACAGAAGCCCCAGAGGACTGCAGAATATGAA